TCATAAATATCATGTGTGAAGTACGTGATTCCTAATTTGCTTATGTAAATTGTCTGTTAAATATTTCCTGTGTAGGTGTATGTGCTAGTAGTTGCGATGTGTATGGCTACTGCTCATCAAAAGTAGAAACTGTAACACAAAGAAGTAATACAAATGTGCCTATTAAGTGGCATCAAACTCTTTAGTTTGGCTATTGTTGCTGTGGAAGAGAGAGCAGTGATGGGCAAAATGGGACTGGAGCTGCATTTGTAATGTGTTGTGGTCCTAACTGGAGTGTTATGCATTGAACTTGCCAGGTGTCTTCAAAGCTGTATTCCTTAACAAACCCAAGTAACCTGGCGTCTCTGAGGCTGGACTTCCTTCGCATCATCTGCAGCCACGAGCACTATGTCACCTTGAATTTGCCTTGCAGCTTGCTCACACCACCTGCATCTCCGTCACCATCTGTGTCTTCAGCAACTTCCCAGGTACGCTGTGACATTGTGTGGAAATGCAAGCTGAGCTTTGTTCTGAGTCTTGTGAGGCTTCTCTTATTGAAAAAAGGCCAGTATTCTCTTTGTAGTGTCTACACATCTTTCTCTCCCTTAGACCTAGTCTCTTCCCATATTGATAAAGGCATGAACCTAAATGAGGCATTACAGAGAAGACTTTGACCAGTTTTACCCTTTTCTCACAAAACAAATTGTTATCTACCCAGAAAAGGTAGTTTGAATTAACATGTGTGTTATTCAAGCGGATTAATTAGTTCCAAAATAAAGTAAACTAAATCAAATTAAAGCCGTCTTAAGCCTGAATTACAGCATCCATACCTGTGCTAAAAGTTTAACTAATCCACTTTTAAAGGTTATTTGGCTTAACTTCCCTAAGTACTCTGCTGTAGGTGAGAAGGTAATAATGACAAACAGAGTTAAAGGAAGAGTTAGTCAGCTTGTGTGTATTATAAGCAGATGTACTTAAATTCAAAGAAAAGAGGGAAGAGGGAATTTACATGGAAGTGTCTTCAATTCTGAATACTGTTCTACAGTATTTTATAAGCTTTAATTCTTCATGTTCTCAGGGACGTCGTTATGCAATTTCTGAAACTTGATTTTTTTCACAGAGTTCTGGGTTCTCTACAAATGTCCAAGACCAGAAGATTGCAAATATGTTTGAATTGTCTGTGCCTTTCCGCCAACAGCATTACTTGGCTGGGCTTGTGTTAACAGAACTGGCTGTCATTTTAGATCCTGATGCAGAAGGGTAAATCTTTACATTATTTTTTCCCCAAGCATTTTGTGTTATTCCAAGTAAAATGGTGGGTGCCAAGCAAGTTCTACACTGTGGCCAGAGTTGATTTAAACTTAAAAGCTGAGATGTTAAGAAATCAGTTCCATAGCTCTTAAGAATCCTCTACACTCCCTGCCCCTTATGTTTCTTACTTTCTTAGTTCTGACTGTATAAATGTGATTCCAGTCACATTTTTCCAACTGAGAAGGAAGGGAAGAGATTCCTTTTGGGGCCTCCGGCTGGCTACAGTGTCACCTGTGGAGCTCTAAGAGGAAAATAGCTTTTCTCAGTTGTAACAAGAAAAAAAAATGTTCAACATTAAGGAATTCTTTGTTGCTAATGGGCTTTTCAGTGTTGTTATGCATTCCCTGTGGGGTCCTCCCAGCTTTTTAGGAACAAATTATGTGTTGATGAGGCCTCTATGGATAACATGAATTGAGTCCAGCATGCAGGGTTTGTGGATGACCTACCAAGCCCGTGCAGCAAATAATTTTTGAAATAGGAATGTGATTGTGACATCCAGTCTGTTATTTACGTTATTTAGGGCTATATTCTGTCTTTCCCATTTCAAATGCATTTCAATGGAAAGTAATGGTTCCTTGTATGTTCCTAAGTTCTCTCAGAGGCTTTTTTTCCAGGATGGATCCAGAAATATCAGCAGAGTCAACAAATGCTGATAATTTATAGATAAGTCTGTTGTTTTAGAGATCCTAGAAGTATGGATTTCCATTAATTCTTTCCTACTGTAAAAGCAAGTGATGCCATAAATTGAAATATTTTCTTTTATATGTACATAACACACTACAATCCCATTCCTTTGGCCAGAAACAGAAAAAGCAGCAAATGTTTCCTCCTTCACACTGTCTGCAGGAGTTCTTCTGTAGCATAGCCACATCTTGCTCACTAGTTTGAAATCCAATTCGCTCTCATCATATTTGCTCCTGTTCTTCACACACTTTCTGTTCTCACCTAATTTGCTTCCTGATCCCTCCCTTGGGTCTGGGTCTGTGTCCAGCTGCACAGAGGAACTGTCACTGTGATCTTACTGCTGTCCCCTGGAGACACTGCTCTCTGACACCCTAACTTAACAAAGGAAACCCACTGAATTCTGTGATACCTGTTCAGCTCTGGAGACATATTTTAGTCAAAACTCCTGATTTTTTGTGGAGACCTTTAACCTTGTACCTGTCATGCGTTTATTTGTTACAGTTTTGCAGAATAATCTCTCAGTTGCGGCTCATTAATTGTTCTCTGTCCTCAACCTTCTACCTTTGCTTATGTAGAGAGTTTTTGGAGGAGAGCAGCAAAAATTCAAAGGTTATTTGGAACTGGTACCCTGTGCTATGTATATGTGGCTCTGTGCTTGTCAGCTGCGTATAATAATCTCAGCCAGAGATCTACCTTTGGGACTGGTCAGAAGAATTGCAATGAAAAAAGGAAGTAGAGTAGGAATTAATACATGTAAGTGTTGGGAGCCTCAGACTTTAAATGTTCTTTGGTCCAATAGATCCACCGGGTAAAACAAACCACTCTGTTCAGATCTGCCCTTTCCTGCCTGTGAAGAGCTTTAAAGGTCAGACAGGGTCATTAGCTGATAATTAGTATAGAACTCAGACATGCTTGTTAGTAAAATGTTTTCATCACCACCATATTCCCCTTTGGAAAAACCTTGAACTTCTTCCTAGTTGCATCATCCTGCAGTAGGAATGAGGAAGGATATTTGTTTAATTTTTATTGTGTCAGAGGCTTACCTGGCCTCTTGATAGTGATACAGAACTTTGAGACTCTTTTTTCCCCTCTCCTTCATCATCTTTGTTCCATTAGCAGAATATCCTGAAGTTTAGCTTACATCTTTTACAAGAGCTATTTGAATTCCTGTGGGAATTTTGTTCTTGTGAAGTTCTTGGGGAAGAAAAGACTTTGCAATGTCTTTGCAATTGTCTTTGCAATGACCCCCCAGTGTCTCAAGGGGGTACTTTAATTAGATTCCGTCGCGCTATGTGCTGCGCACAGTCTATGCAGTTCGAAGCACTTGATGTCTGAAAGATGAGCCAACATGTGGATTAAGCAAGCAAGTTGAATTTGGCAGTTGGAGAATGAGGAAGAAAGAATGAATCCAAGCAACTATATCCTTAACAGATTGTCTTAGCTATGCTAAGACACATGTGCTAAACTGTACTGTAATGCTTTGATTATTAATCAGTAATAATTTTATTGCTTAATAATTGCTTATAATTTCCATTCTGCACCTGTTGACTGATGTTACAGAACACAAGTGAGAAAAGCAGAATTTGGCCCTCATATTTGGTGTCAAAAGTCAGTATTCCAGAAGTGAACAGTGTTGACACAAAGTCATGCCAGGGCTGAGGTAGAAGTGAGACTAGTTGGAGAGCAACAAGATCAGTTCATTGCGTTATCAGCCAAGAAGACTGGGGAGTTGTATTTTCTCCTCTCTGATATGGATCCGTCTGCCACCATCACTATACCTACTGTATTTTGGAAAATGTGAAAAGAAGCCCATGTAGCCCTAGGTTTTAAATACACTGCTTGCTCTGAGTGCATTTCCCTTGTAGGGAGGTTCCTTTTTAAACTATTACAAACCCAGCTTAAATGCCTCTCCTTCAGAACAATACAAAGACTTTCGTTTAACCTTGACTTGAATGTGAGCCAGTCATGCAATTAAGCATTTCCTTCCTCTAGTTGCTTAGGGTCTCATTGATAATATAAACAAGCAAATGTGGGATCTCATTACAGCCTCATTAAAAATACAGAAAAGAAGTGCAGCTACAACTAGGGTCACAGTCCTTCTAACCTCTACTGGTCTCTCTGTAATCACTTTAGACCCCTTGACAATCCAGTCAGAAACTCTCACCTTTTTTTTAACCAGAACTCAACTCTGCTTTTCAGGTAAAGTGGATACTGCCTGAAATTCAGCACCTGTTTTAATACCTCAGGTCTGAACACTGAAGCTTATGTTTTGCTAATGCATAATGTATGAGCTTCCTTGGCTGCTTCGTGCATGGGGTAAAGTTGTCTTACTGGACTGGTTTGCCTACAGAAGCAAATAGTTACAGACATACATGCTATTTGCTCTGTGAGAGTTTTGCCTCTGTGTGGTGGCTGAGGGAATTGGAAAGGGGCTGAGCGAGCTCTTGGGAGATTCAGAGTCGGTGGTTTTAAGGCATGAGCACGAAATAGGCTCAAGCAAGGTGCCCTGTGAAAGAGAGTCGAGTTTGGGCTCTGCCATCTCCGGCATCTTAATAATGAAGGACACCTTTTGGGAGGGATTTTTTTTTCCTTCTGCTCCTCCATTTCTTTTGGAAATCTTATAATTACAAATATTGATCTGTAGTCTTCTGTTGTGGTTGAACAACTGCATGGGGGTTCAGGGAAGTGAAGTGGAAACTTCCTGATGATTTGTTAAAAGGGATGTTCTGTCTTGAGACAGTTGCTCTCTGTAAATATTGCTAGTTTCACTAAACCCACTGTCCTCTCAAGTTTCTCCTCCTGTCTTCCATGTTCCCCAAGTTCTCCTGAATGTTCTTCGGTAGACTTGATTTGTCAGTGTACCGGGAGTTCGGGGTTTTGTTCTTGAACAGAAAATGTGAGAACCTTAGCATTATATTGGGTCTGATTGTGCACATCAGCAAAGAGTTTTTGTACATTTTATAAGATGTAATCAAAATTACTCCTGAAGTGCAGGCCAATTTGTGAAAGCCAGCCATTTGGAAAATCTGTGGGAGAGCAAGGAGTACTGTGTAATAACAGTTTATGTCAAGTTAAAAATAAAAGCCGGGGTTTTTTTTGAAGCCACTTAGTTACAAAGTATCGTTTGCTTTGAAGGTATTAACTAATCTGTGTGACCCAACTCTCTCTTAACAGTTTATTTGGATTGCATAAGAAGGTCATCAATATGGTACACAATTTACTGTCCAGTCACGACTCGGATCCTCGGTACTCTGACCCGCAGGTAAAGGCCCGGGTGGCTATGCTGTATCTACCTCTGATTGGCGTGATCATGGAAACCGTGCCTCAGCTCTATGACTTTACAGGTATTTTGTTCTATACTTTGAGTGTATTTTCAGTTATTTGTAAGATTTAGTTGCTTTTGTTCTAAAATTGAACAAACAAACCCTTTACCGTTGAATAGGATTGTTACTATTTTGAAAGTGTGGTGACTTTGATGTATTTTTACATCAATTTCCTAAACTGTATGTGCAAAATGTATCCTTGGTAACTTCAACAGTCAAGAGCTGCATGAAAAGCAGGTATTGCGTTTTAGTTTACTTTTGGATGGTGAATGAATATGCTTGGTCACCTCCCTCTGGCCTGTTTAAAAATTGGCCCATATACTGTACAATAGCCATAACCCTTCCATAGGATAAGCAAAGTTCCTCCTCTTCCTTCTAGTCTGTGCTGTATTGGTAGTGCTTCTCAGGACTGCCCAACACAGTGTCCTGAAGAGCAGTGGACATTATTCGTATCAGGGCAAGGAAATAATCTGGAAAAACCTGGAATGTGGAGTTGTCTTCTAAGTCTTTTGAGCTCAATAAAATGAGGAAACTCCAAGGAAAGAATTGGGGTGAACTGTTCAAAGAGGGATAAGGTCAGAAGGATTCTAGGTACTGAGGTTTTTCGGTCACTTTTGTAAATTGTTACTGTTGCTTTGCATAACTTCAAATAATAGTTCTGTTTACTTGCAGGACCAAATGAGTGTGATGTTGCTTAGTTTGCATTTCCAGACAGTTCAGTGAAATTAGCACTGTGGAGGGAGGCTGTGGAGAGAAACTTTGAATTTGGGGATTAACTGCGTTGTGTGTGTTTCTTGGCAGAGAGTCACAATCAGCGAGGGAGGCCGAGCTGTGTCGCTGCAGAGGATTATGAAAGCGAGGGTGGAAGTATGATAAGCCAGACAGTTGCCATGGCCATTGCAGGAACATCAGTCCCTCAGCTCACCCGGCCCAGCAGTTTTCTACTCGCCTCATCGGTACAAAACTATCCCTCCCTATTCCTTGACCCTCAGGCTGTGTCAATAAGCAAATATTTACATGTGCACGCCCTGTAGGAGTGATCACGGAGCAGTGGGGACTGATAGCAGCTTGCAGCTGGGTTTTGTACAGGGAGGCAGAGGGTGAAAAAAAACAAGGTGGAACAGATCACATTTGCATGGGGTTGTGCCTGATTTGGAGGGAGTGCAATAAAATGCCAAAAAGGAATAAAAATCAACAAAGCTCAGAAAATGGAAGAATTCTCTTTCCTGATAAAGATTTTAACCCTTTCTGAAAAAAAGTCTGATAAAAGTTCTGCAAAGTGCAGTAGTCATTTTATGTGAATTGCAATAGTTATTATAGGTTCCAAGCCCTGCCACGTTCCTATCACATCTAAATCCCATGCAGTTGAAAACATAGATGGGCCATTCCCCTTATTCTCTCTGTCAGGGAGGGAACCTCCTGATTCTAGTAGCAGACAGGTACTCCCTGCCTCAGACCTCCCTGCTCACAGCAGACCCCTCTGAGGTGTTGGGTTGCTAAAGAGAAATGTGTGTCTCCTGGTTATTGGTAAAAATTCCTTCTATCTGGTAATTAGTAGCCCAGGGTGGTAGCTGATACAGATCTTTTTATGATGATTGAAGTGTCTGGGCATGAAACCCCATGTAACTAACTGTCTTGACCTGTCTGTTCAGAGCGGAAGGCAGCACTCCACCTTCTCAACAGAGTCCAGCCGTAGCCTCTTGATCTGCCTCTTGTGGGTGCTCAAAAATGCAGATGAAAGTGTCCTGCAGAAATGGTTCACAGACCTGTCAGTCCTGCAGCTGAATCGCCTGCTGGATCTGCTTTATCTCTGTGTGTCCTGCTTTGAGTACAAGGTACTGCTGTATTGTTCGAATCTCCTGAAGTTTGTTCTAGAGCGTGCAAGGATATTTCCCGCTCTCTCTTATTTCTTGTATTCACAATCCTGCAGCTACACAGCTTTCTGTGAGATCTCCAGCCTTCTCGCACATTTATTTAGCAATGCAAATGACTCTCCTTCTTTCACTCATTCAGTGTGTGCTGCTTGCCAGTCACCTGAGAACTGCTGAAGAAAGTGCGGACAGTTTTTGGACATTTCTGTTTACTCTCAGCAGAATGGTATTGGAATAAGGAGAGATTAGCTAGCTAGCAGCTAAACCTATATTCTCTTCCTGACATATGTCTTTGTACAGAAAAGATATCTTCACTTATTAATCCTCTGAATATATCTCAGTTTGAAAGAATCTTCCATCATTTTCTCTTTTGAAACTTGCAGGGCAAGAAAGTGTTTGAAAGAATGAACAGTCTGACATTCAAGAAGTCAAAGGACATGAGAGCCAAACTTGAAGAAGCTATTCTGGGAAGCATAGGAGCAAGGCAGGAAATGGTCCGAAGAAGCAGAGGACAGCTAGGTAAGTAAAGATGTATTCCGTGCTGGCTCCTTTTTCGAAAAGTCCTTGCACTCTTCTGTAGTGTGGGATACTGCACATCAAGTGCTCCAGACAAAGAGCCCCCAGGGAAAAAGCTATTTGCAGTTTGCAGCATGCTTCACTGGCTCTGTAAAACCTCCACACCTTTCCTAAGTTCCGTCAGCAAGCCATTTATTTGTTACTTGACTGCTTTAGCGTATAAGTGGTCATGTCTTATTTATGGGACCTTCTTGCCTGAACTTCTTCTCGTGTAACATCTTTCAGGGTCACCATCTAACATGTTTAGGGCAATGGCCAATGTGGAAAAAAATCTTGTCCGGTCTTGCTCTTGGTCACTGAAAATGCCCGAGTGCTTCTGCTAAAATAATGCTTGAAATAGCCAGCAGTTTGGCTAACACACACCCCCTTGTGATGACTTCTGTTGTGTTTTTTTCTTTTGAGAAGGAGGTTGGAAGTGATTAAGGAGAACTGGGTTTGGTCTCCCATTCTGCCACAGGTTTCTTCATACATGTAAACCAGTAGTTGTGGACTAAGTTGAATAAGTTTTTAATGGTGTGCCTCAAAATTAATGAATTATTTAAGAGAGAAATGGCAACCTTTTGTATTTTTTATCTAGCCTCAATGCTTCAATGCATCTGGGAAATTGCATAGTGAAATTCTCCTGTCCTCCCAGGAGTGAGAATAAAGATGTAAAAGGCTGTGACATGGGAAAGGGGATCTCAATACTGCCTACAGAACATTGCTATGTCTCAGTTGAACACAGAAATATCAGACTGACAAGGATTGCCAGACTCAGGCTCCTTATCTAGTCCGAGGAAGGCTGACTGAGGTGCTTCTCTTGGCATCCCTGGCAACGACCTCCCTGATTTGAGTATCTCAGCTGCATGTCACTGTTAGCTGTGTAGTGAACTGACATGGAAATGGTCTGTGTTTCTCATGGCTCACTCAGATGAAAAACACTGTAGTGTAAGGCACCACTCATGTCACTCTAAGCAATGATAGAATTAGGGACCATATAAAGATTTTAGGTGACTGCCACAGCCCCTGGGCTCTAAGGAGTCATGGCTTGCTGTCACTTCTCGCTTGTGAACAAATCTAGAATAGCCACCCATGCAAAACACTAACAGTAGATGATTGCTGTTGTTTTGATATTATCCTCCAGAGAGAAGTCCTTCTGGGAGCGCATTTGGAAGTCAAGAAAATTTGAGATGGAGAAAGGATATGACTCACTGGCGTCAAAACACAGAAAAGCTTGACAAGTAACTCTGCCTTATCCTTATACATTAACAATGTCATGGTTCCCCTAAGATCTCAGGGTATCTCTCCCCATTGGTCAGTGGCAACAGTCCACTTGTACCTTGTGTGAGCAGATTTAGGTCCTCAGCTGGAACAGAGCTGGTTGTGTGCAAATGCCTTTCAGTCTGGCATTGCCTAACTCTCTGCTTTTCTACTTGCTTTTCCTTATTTAGTATTTTGAAATGAGTTTTAGAGACTAATACAATCCATTGCCTTCTTAAATCCCTGTAGTAAGCTGTAATTTAGAGAGAAGATCCATTATTAGTATTACAGATAGCATATATATCTCATGTCATATTTCCTTTATTCCATAAGAGCATTCTGGAGTTGTCAAAGCTCGCTTTCCTTTCTTGTCCTAATCCATCACTTTGATTGTTTTTCCACATGTGCTGTGCTTTTAGAAGCCACAAACCAGCCAGGTACTGTAGCACTGGTGTGCAGCTCTTATAAATTGCCATTTTGTACATACATGGACTCAATCATCACAGCACTATTTGTGATGCTTGGCAGAAGTTTTCAGTGTGTGTGTGCAACTGGTTGGAATGAGCTCTTTTTGCTTATTACACCCCTTCCCTTTAAGATTCCCTCTCTTGTTGTGGTTTCATCTGGACAGCTCAGGAGTTGTGTTCAGGCTTTGCTCTGCACGTTTTCTGTTTTCTCAAATTGCAACCTACAGTCTTCATCTTCCCAGCAAAAGAATTGTTCCTAATCCCAGGAAAGCAAACTCAGCCCAAGTGAACCTCTGAAGACACTGAGAAATGGGGTCCTCAGGGCCTGGACAGAGGGCAGGTCCAATTTCAGCCATGAAGACAGACTGCTGCCTCCTGAAGCTGAAAATACATCTTCACAGCTTCTAATTGCTTTGTCCAACCCAACCCTGTAATCTCTTGCTGTGTCAGGTAGTAACGTTTTGTCCAGGACTCTCATCCTGTTCAGGCACTGGGAAGGCCAAATAACCAGTGAACTACTGATAAAGTGATGTAGGTACAAATTTCTTCATGATTCAACTGTAGACCTCTGTGGACAGAGTTATACCGAATTAACATCTGGTCTGCAGGACCCATCAGTTCACTGTTGGCCCTTGGTCCCAGCTGTCTTTTTCTGCTGGAAGGACCTAACATACATGTTAAATCCCTGTGGAATACCCTGACGATCACAGGATGATCTCTCTCCCACAAAATACTGTTGTTGGGTGCTTCAGAGATGCTACTTCAAAGATACTGTTGGGTCTTTGTGCAGGGTGCTCATTTCACTGAAGTGGTTACCACTGAATTCCTGGGAACACCAGTGTGAGTGGATGTAGGAACTTAATCAGCCTTTCCAAGAAAGTGGGCGACTTGCTTTTAAGTGCAAATAGTTTTCTCAGAGAGGAAGATATTCTCCAAAAACTGCAATATAATGTAAAAGGACAAAGACCACATCTGCAGATGATGCACTCTGCACCAGAATCAGTCCTGCTGCCAGGATCAACAGTGCAGAAATACTAGCTCATGTAGCACCACCTTGTGTCCATAGCCTATAATGTAAAGCTGTATGTTTGTTCCTAGTTGTGTTGCTGCATGCCTTATGATGCTACTAAACCAGTTTTGAGCTGGACTTCGATGCTAAATTATTGTTGTGTTCCTGGGAGGATAATGAAGTGTCAAAAATAGTGTGATCCCTCCTGAGCATGATAAACATAAATTGTGTGCAAGTTGGTATATGTGAAAAACAGTTATTTTTTTCTTGTTCTGGATGTATTGAAATATCCTTGTAATGTTGACTAGTACTAAATGTGTGCATCATAACTGGGAATTTCCTGCTAATGAGAAAATATTTTTGACTGGGGAATATGGAGGTTTACTACTTAAACAAAATATAATTTTATTGCTTTCTTTTCTCTAATTAGATCAAGGGCAGAGATAGAACATGAGGCACTTATTGATGGAAATCTTGCAACGGAAGCAAATCTGATTATTTTGGATACATTAGAGATAGTTGTCCAGGTAAGGTGGTAAAAGAATAGCAGAGATGTTGTCAGAGCATTTGGATCACCTGGCCAATGAATAGTTTTAGGGCAAAAAAAAAGAATTTCCTGCCCTAAAACTTCCTTAGCTTAAATTCCAGAGCGTTGCCCTAGTCCAGCCAGCCCAGGTCTGCCTCAAGTCATCCAGGTCCAGGTCAGTCCCTTCTGCCTAACTGGCAAGGTGCAGCGATGCTTCCAGGCTCTTGACCTGGTCGCACACCCCAGCTGTGTCCTCGCTGCCTCCTGGGGAGCCTGGACACGAGCCCGTTTCCTCCTCTGCTTTCAGTGCGAATGAAGCGTGGACCCAGGCTGGAAGAAGGGAATCCCTACTTGGCAGATCGAGCCGCAGGGAGACCTGGGCCCCAGGGGACACGCTGTCTGCGTGTAGGGCAGGCACCCGCTTCATGTGTGAGGGGCTTTCTGAAGCAAGGGTGCCTTGTCTCTGCAGCGCACGCCCTTTTTGCCTCAGTTTGAGCAGTAGCAAGGAGGCACCGCTGCACTTCTCAGGTGAAGCTTGGCTGCCCTTGAAGTGACAGGTTGATCCTCTCCAGGGCTTAAGTGCAGCCAGGGTTTCACTCCAGCTCGTGACTTTTCCAGGACTCCCAGAGGGTTCACCTTGCGCCTGAGTAATCCACTGTAGTCTCCCTGTAACAGAACAAGGTCACAAAAGGCCGGAGCCTTATCAGGTGGACAGCACCATCATTCCACAGGTTTTAGAGCGTGTGATTCATTCAGGAACACCAGTGTTGCACAAGGCCAACTAAATTAACTGGATAATTTTCCAGTGCCAAAGGATTTTTTCAGGCGGTTACTATCTTTCCCTCTCTCTCAGCCAGGAAGTTTGTTTGTGCCTCTTGGTGACTCTTGGTTTACTTTTGACTGCAGACCGTTTCTGTGACGGAGTCCAAAGAAAGTATCCTCGGCGGGGTGCTGAAAGTGCTTCTGCACAGCATGGCCTGTAACCAAAGTGCACTTTATCTTCAACACTGCTTCGCTACACAGAGGGCTTTGGTTTCAAAGGTGAATTCTCTGCACATGCTATACTATATACTGAGCAGCAGTGATGGTCAGGGTTGTTTTCATTGCATTGAAGTCACTTCACCAAGCACTTATTATTTTGAACAGTATTAATTTTCAGGAAATGTGGTCTGGGAGCGGTTAAAACCTGACTAGTTTTCATGATCGATATCTGTATTTTTGTGCTTAATTTTGATGACTCTTTGCAAACTTGTGCGAGTTCCTGCTCGCCAGCTGTAAGCTGGCAAAGGCACCTCCCCTATAGGGAACACAAGGCACAGTTTGAATTAAGACTGCATGAATCTCAGTTAAAATGAATTTGTTTTACTGAGCTCATAATTTCAACCATTTTCCTGTTTCTGTGCTGGAAACAGACTTAAAATTTTAAACTTGATTTTATGGAACTGAGGTAAATCAGTCTAAGGGTGTAGGAGCAGGTTTGTGTGGGTGATGTAAAACAAATTAAATTCTAGTGCTGCCAGTGAGTTTGCTTTTGCCTCAGTGAAAATATGAAGTGATATAAATCAGCTCCCTTGAAACACAGGGGACTATATTTCCTCTAATGCTAATTTATGCTCATTCTGGGGGATCACCGAAATTTTTTTGTCTTGGTGTTTGTTCCTGTCCGTCCAGGCAGAAGTGCTTTTCTCATGTACTGTTCTTTTTCAGTTCCCTGAGCTGCTGTTTGAAGAAGAGACTGAGCAGTGTGCAGATCTGTGCCTGAGGCTCCTGAGACACTGTAGCAGCAGTATCAGCACAATACGGTCACATGCAAGTGCTTCTCTTTACCTTCTGATGAGGCAAAACTTTGAGATCGGGAACGTAAGTACTAGGTTATTACGTGTAAAATGGTTGGGGACTGCGGTGTGGAGCTCTGTGTATTCCTAGTTATTACGTGTAAAATGGTTGGGGACTTGGGGACTGCAGTGTGGAGCTCTGTGTATTCCTGCAGGAGAGCTTACCATCCAAATAAGCAGGGAAGGGAAGCACAAGTTAGTGACTTTGCCTTGCTCGTGATCTTGCTTTACCTCACATTGCTGCTTGGCAGCATGGCAGGAGTGTCCAGTCTCTGATGTCGGTATATTAGCTGTATGCCCAGAATTTCTTACCAGGCCCCTGCAGCAGATCTGGGAGAACCCACTTGTTCTGGGCTTAGGGCCGGGGCATTCTAACTAATGCATTAAGCACTTCAGTTTACGTAGCTCTTTGCCTATGCACAGTTGGAGAAGAGGCCTCTCACACATTCCCTTTCATTAAACAGACTTCTTAGCCTTCAGATGGCTTCAGGTGACACTCCCTGGCAATGGAGAGGGATTTAAAGCACAAGCAAATTAGTTTGCTAATTTACTGCGAACCATGGACTTTACAGGCAGCATAAGCATTCCGTGGGCCTTTCTGAACACTAGAATTTCAAAAGCAATATAACCTGTTAATGTTTAATGCCAAAAATAATGATAAATATTATGAGGCTTATCTCCACTCATTCTGTTGTTTCTGTAAATAAGTTGTTATCCACACACACACGCCCCCGCACACACTTTGACATTATTTACGTATTACTGGTAGTTACTGGTTTACCTTCTACTAAATGTAGAGTTAGAAAATAACCATTTATTTTATTGCTAATAAATTGAAGAACAGCTTGTTCTTTTTCTGTTTGTTTGTTTGTTTGTTTTTCTGGTAAGTAAAATATATAAAATTTAGATCTTTGATTAATTCTGACACTAATTCAGAGTTACTGTGGACCTAAAATGACAGTGTATAGTTTGCTCCCTGCTGACAATTCCTTAAAGCATTATTTTTCTTACAGGTCCAGGATCTTGTGTTCAACCTCCATATGATCCTTTCTGACACAGTTAAAATGAAGGAACACCAGGAAGATCCAGAAATGCTGATTGACCTTATGTACAGGTAGAGTTTATAACTGTTGCGCTGAAGGGACAGTAGATGTCAGTACTTCACATGCTGTTTGATCAGAGCTTAGTACTTGCTGCGTTTAGAGCCTGAAATACTGTATTGCTATGAACTTCAGTTACCTTCTTTTTATTAGCCATTATTTTACTTTGAACTTTAAGCCTCTTTTCATTGCTGGTGCTTGTCATGATTCACGTTTCACCCGAAGTCAAAAGGTCCACTTCTTTTTTGGATTTGGACTCAAATGCTACTCACTTGAGTCCTTATATAGCTTGCTTTTTGAGTAATTACACTGCAGTTCCCAGTCTCAGTGCTCAGGGACCAGTATGCACGGAGAGCAGTATTTCTCAGGCTATGTCTGTACCCTGAGCATCCTCTTATTCCACAGGCAAGGGCAGAAGCAACACAGCTATGATTGCTTGCAGCTGTGACCAGCCAGTCTTTGCAAAGCTACCTTGCAGTATCTGCATTCCTTGTTACTACCAAGGAGCTAATGTAGCCCTTACTCATGTTTGTTGTATTTGAAGGTAGTGTTGACAGGTTTCTTTGGCTTTTATCTGGCTTAACTCGGATAAAAGTAGTTTCCAATCCCCAGCAGTCTCTGACAGTCTTGTCCTCTACTTGAACAGAGATGTCTGTGCTTCCGCTGCTTGCATGAGGGAGGACTTAAGGATCTTCCAGGGCCTGATTGCGCCAAAGGCTCTTCAGTTTTGGTACATACAATGGTCACCATATGCAAATCTATAGAGTCACTTGGAATAACTTCCCATCTGTATAGTTTTCCATCTCATGTATTGCTGAATAGCCTGGAGCTGAGGATGGTTGATATTTAAGCAGAAGTAGCTAAATACTAATCACAGAGCTTTTCTTTTCCATTAGAATTGCAAAGGGCTATCAGAATTCCCCTGACCTGCGCCTGACCTGGTTACAGAACATGGCTGGGAAGCACTCGGAGAGAAGCAATCACGCTGAATCGGCCCAGTGCTTGGTCCACTCGGCAGCCTTGGTGGCCGAATATCTAAGCATGCTTGAAGACAGGAAATACCTCCCCGTAGGGTGTGTTACATTTCAGGTAGGAGTATGTCCTTTATCCTCCACAAAGTATTTTTTTTGGTTTTTTCATCTGCTGCTGAGATGCAGATTATTTCCGTGCAGCAACTGCTGCTGTGCCTATGTACGCAGCTTTTTTTTGGAAGAGCTGATTAAAACAACCTCAGAAAATCTTTATGTTTAAAAGCTGTCTTGGTTCCTCAGAATTGTTCTATCTGCAGACTGAATGGACCCAGTTTTTTTTGTTTTGCCATTTAAGTCATGTTTGCTAAGGCCTCATCTACTACCCTTTTTTCAGTCCAGATATTGTGTACTGGGTACAACTATGCTGCACTAACTGATGAGAATGGTTCCTGTGATTACTAACTTTAGGCTGGGAAAGACTGAACAGAGAAAACAGGCTTTGAACATGGTGGTGGTTCAAACCCATGAGCTTAAAATCAAGCATGTGTTGAATTGCCTTGCTGGATCAGAAAGAATGAGATTAAATGGATGTGAAAGCCACCTCTCAACATTTTAGAATTTGATTGAAAATCAGTTGGCTTTCAAAGTATTAAATGCTACTTAAATTGGTTGTAATCCTTCTGTCTAAATTATGTCTCCTTAGAACATATCTTCTAATGTTCTGGAAGAGTCAGCAGTTTCTGATGATGTCGTATCACCAGATGAAGAGGGTATCTGTTCTGGGAAGTACTTTACAGAAGCTGGTCTGGTGGGATTGCTGGAACAGGCTGCAGCGTCTTTCTCAATGGTAGAAGACTTTTATTTCTTTCTCTATCTCTTCAGCAATCTTATGCGACTGGACAGTGTAAAGCAAAATACTTATTTGAGACTGTATGGCTCTGTTGTAACCACTGAATTTGAATGGAGCGTTGGAAGTGTTAGCTGTTAAAGACAGCTCAGTTTGTACTCCCGAGTAAAGTGTGCAGTGAACCAGTGCTGGACACCAAGAGGTCTTTGGGCGTTTTAAGGTCTTTTCTTGAGCAGTGCATATTCTGAATTTCAGAACAGAAGAAAGGCTGTTATGTTTTACCTCCGATCAGGAAGAGAGTGGGCTGAAAGATTTGTTTGATAGAAGATGGGGAATTTACTTTAAGAGGAGCAATGCTACACTTAAGAAGTAGCAGTGTATCCACCAGTGAAAGCAAGTGAATTATGTCCCACAACACAATCTGAAGGTTCTGCTGGTGGTTTCTTTTTCAAGCAGCAGTAACTACAGAGTAGGGACTTAGAACCCCTTCGACTTAGAATGAAGCAGTGTCTGCCTGTAGTAGACTGGGTCCCCTGTGCAAGAGACATTCTAGAGCAGCTTCATAAAGTACATCTCTGGGAGTGCCAAAAGTGGACAGAGAAGTCCCCGCAGGGTGAAGTTGCACTAAACAGAATGACCTCTGTTGTTTATTTAAGCTTTCATATTTCATTCCTATAGATTTGGTTAGGATTCTGTTTTGTTATACTCCTGTGCATATATCCAAAACAACCCAAAATTGTTTATTTTAATAATCTCATTTACTAGTAGCAGTATAATGCTAATGCAGTAGGTTCTTGGTTCCATTGATAGTTGAGGACTATTCTGTTCACTTACATGTGTATTTTAAGAAGAGATACTGATTACATCACAGTGTATTTGAGTTTCTATGCCACGCTTTCATTTTTCAGTCTTACTATTTGAATGCTTTGGGCATGTATCATACTTGCTGTTGAATTGATGGAGCCATCTAATGGACATTATTTTGTAGGCTGGCATGTATGAAGCAGTTAATGAGGTTTACAAAGTCCTTATTCCTATTCATGAAGCTAACAGAGATGCCAAGAAGCTATCTACTATTCATGGTAAACTCCAAGAAGCATTCAGCAAAATTGTTCATCAGGTAATGATTTGAATCTTCAGCTGCAATGAGAATTGTGAAGAAATTTCAAATGCTCAGTGCTGCTAAAAACTACCCATCAAGGGGAAAAAACATTTAAAACAGATTGCATAAAAATGTGAAAATGATGATCCACAGTAAATGAAGGATCACTGACAGGATTGGTTCTCTCAGAACTCTTATTAGAAACACGAGAGAACAACGTCACTTAACAAATTTGAGCATAACTTCAGAAATTTCCAAGAGTTAAAAATTCTAATTATCTGTCAACTTAGTTGTTGTTTTAAAATGTTTTTTGCATGCTGTATTTCTGCTTAAAGAAAAATATTGATTTTTGCTTTGGCCTTGCAGATAACATTGAGAAGTGTTAGGGGTTTCTTCTTTGCATGTGGTGCATAAATTATTGAATCTGGATGGTGCAAAAGCCACCAGCTCAATTAAATGCTAAGCATTTTATGTGAGGTGTCGAAGTTATCAGCCCTGGCTAAGCCATCTGCTTCATAGGATCCAGCTGACCTGCAGCAGCTGAGGGTCTTGTGGTTGTGTGTGCTCTGGCATTGCCAGACTCCTGAGGTTAAATGAGCGATAGAGGACAATTATTTAATGTCTTTCTGGGCCAAAGAAGGCCATTGTGGATGCATGATGACATGTAATCATTGAGAGCATTTGAGGTTAATGATACCTTACATTGATGGTCGTGTTTTGACCTTTGAAACTTTTTTTTGGTTTCTGTGACATGCGCTTTTTACTTTTTATTACACAGAGTACTGGCTGGGAGGTAGGTAACTCCATTTTAGTTAGTAAAGAACACTAATAGATTTATCAGATGACTCACGCCAATGCTTGCCCACATGTGCTAGTTGTGGGTATTTCTGTTGCTGTCTGCTGTTAAAACTGAATTCATTAACCAAAGAAATACCAATAAACTGGTTGTGGTTTTAGTAGGAAATTCTTCATAAGAAGCTGTAGGTACTGCATGGATGCTGACGTGTTCCACTAATGAGGTTCTTTGGTGAATGAGCCACTGTATCATCACTAGTTTGTTTTTATAATTTGTTTATATTTCTTTTCATCAGCATTGACACAGAATATCATCTCTTCATACCATATTTTCACCCCACCCACAGGGGTCGATTTAAGCAATAATGCTCAGAGGTACTGAAAAGCAAAACTGTTTTATTGCATATGCAGACAATAGGAGACTTAATTCTGTTCATTTAATAACAGTTAATTTGTTATGTAGCTGTTTATCAGGCAGTAAAATAGCTCAGTTGTGATAACTGGAGTCAGTTTTGCTGCTCTCATTTTTGTAGAGGCTGTTTGCTCACATTTCTACAACATACGCCATGAGAACCACACATTTGGATTAAAAATAAACAAAGTAGTCTGCTTCCTCTGTACGTTGCACACAGCACTGTGAGTTTGATAAATCAGGCCCTACTCCAGTTGATACAGTTGGTATGTAAACTTTGGGAGTCTCAGAAGTCATTTTAAATGCTTGGTGAATACGGTGTTAGCTTATGCTTAGACTTGAGCTGTTCAGTTGATTTCTGCTTTTCTGTGACCCAACTCGTTCCAAGTTTCCAACACAGGAGAGCTTTGAATTCCACACTTCCTGAACTGGGGCCTAGGTGCTTTGCACTGTGTGACAGGAATAATTTGGGCTGATAATGTCTGAACTTGAGTTTTAATTCTGGCCTAACAAAAGATGAAATTTTGTAGCTTTAAAGTAACCCCTGACATTCCAGGGCTGGCCCTGTTAATCATTTGCTGATCAGTGTGAAAAGTCCCTGTAGTCATAGGAATAGATACATAGAAATGATACATATTCAGTATCCAACAAATATGAAGGCCTGTGAGCATCTGTTTTGATCAGTCTGCCCCTAAATCGACCCCTGAAGAAAATCCTGTCATTGGTTATGAATCTAACATCACTCAGTCATGTTTTATTGCATGGTAAAAGACACCCATGGTTTATGTTCATGTCTGTCATGGTGCTCTCTCATTGCCATACTTTTTCTGATCTTTGTGCTTTGTAGCTTTCGGATTTGTTGCATGAGTTTTTCTCCTTTTCCCTTATTTGTAAATGCTTTAATTGACTCTCACCCTTTTTTATTTTAAAGTTTATTTGCTGCCAATTTGCTGCTTGTTTGTTTTTTGGAATTTCCCTAATTAAATACTTTCTGTTTTCTCCTCTATCGCCCTGGTTGCTGACCCTCCTCCCCACTCTTACTATTGTCTGTTGTGGTAAGTTCCTACTTGTGGATTTTTTTTATTTTATTTTTTTTTACTTTCCTCTTCCCCTCTCCCCTCTTTTGTTTTATTCCGTGGAAGCCCCAATTTCATTTTACCAAAGAGCTATGCCAACAGCAGGATTTACCCCTTGGGCCACAGGGAAAGCAGTATTGCCAGATATTGAAGTATCCTGAGTCAAGCATCAGTACCTTTGTGAGACATGCTTAAACTTTCCAGGTTGTGGATTTTTCTGTTTTTCCATTTGTTTGCTAAATAAATTCTACATTCTTTTCATTTACTTTCCCATTGAGAAAGTTTCTGTGAAAAGTCTTTTCATGCACAAGAATTTAAAAATACTCTTTTTAGTATGCAAGGTGAGGTTGCCATCTGACAAGGGGATTCCAGGAGCTGGTACTTAATGAAAAAAAAAATCAATATTGGAAGACTTGCAATAGTTGGCAACACTGCAAAATGACCTTGAATTAAAATCGAGCAAGAAAGTACAGTGCTCAGTTTAGTAAAGAAGGTTGGGTTTTGCATTCTGCACATTGGGTACGAAGTGTGTATATATGTATATATTTTACTCATACATGCTTTGGGCGGATTCTGCCTTCAGGCAGTGACACTACTACATTGGTCTTAATGGAGTAAACAGATGATCATTTGTGTCTAATTATTCAAATCTTGTTGGCAAAGCTTTTTGTGTGCGTGTAAGTGATAACTCTAAAACTTTATTCCCAGCAATTTTGAAAGGTATTTACCATGCATAATAACAAATCATGAACCTTCATAAATCATGGTGGCTGCAATCTGCTCTGCCAGTTCTGTGATGGCTATTCAGTGTTCACCTTCATTCTCTTCTCCTCCCAAAGACCTATTATTTTTCATAAAAATAATAGGATGTAAAATGCTTTTTAATCATTTCTCCCTCATATCTGCATTTTTAGCTCTTTTCAGAAACAAGACCATGGAGTATTTTTAAGTTACTTGTTTTCAGTACCGTGATTATGGAGACCTTGCTATTGGCTAAATTTCAAAGGAAAAATTCTAGGAAGGATTGCAGAGCCATCCCATATTCTTAACTGCAGGCAAGAAACTGAACTTTCCTAATCCAGGGGCTCACAGCTACTGAATGAGCACGGGGAGCAGAGAGTAGCCAGGAGGTGCGTGCAGGAACGTGCTTCCAGCTCCTCCTTTCCAGTTGCAGACCCCAGCTGTGGCTGCAGGCCTGAAAATTGCATGTGTGAAGGGATATACTGGCCAGAGCCACTTCCCTGTGCAGGAACAGAGCAGCGGGAAGGCTGGCAGGCAAGAACAGTGCCAATAGTCACTGCCTGTGGACCAGAGGTGCCCAGGACTGGTGTTGTATCTCCTCACACACAACATCTACACTGCAGCTGGCAAGATCAGCACTCCTGTCACGGTAGGAGCTAACCAGTGCTCCTCGCTGCAGCCTTTTCTCCCTGCCATCATTATGATAACTGATTTTCAGCAGCTGGATTTATCAGGAAAAGCCAGTGTAACTGGGCTTTGTGGTGACAAAACAAGCACATGTGCTGGGACACTAGGTTCGTCAGTATCCCCTGGTGCCACTGCTCCAGGGACTTCCCAGTGCACCATTGCTCTTGCTTTTGTAAATACTACCAGAAATCTATTAATTGATGCTGATGAAAAGACATTTTCTCCTTCCCTCATTGTTATTTTTACAGCAACGTAAATTTACACTGCTCTTAACAAATAGCTGTGTAAATGACCCACGTGGCAGGTGTTCACCTTTAAGGGACTGGATCCTCCCAACACTTCTTACACTGAAATTTCAGGACGTGTCTCCTCCCTCATGGCTGGCAGGAGTTGACACGGTATGGAACAACCACACTTGCTTTCTCTGTGCCCTCAACAAGCCAAGACCTGGAGAGCCCACAGTTACCTTTATGCCTCTTCCCCTGAGAATTTAACCAAATGAGACCTTTTTTCTTGCAGCTGAAATGCATATCGAGCCCTTGAGCAGATTTTTCTCTCTCTTTTTTTTTTTAATCCCAACTGCTGATGCAGCGCTCTCTCCTAACCCTGGGCAGCCGTAGCTCTTTGTGTCGCGTGCCAGCATTGCCCTTGAAGGGCATCCTGCAGGAGCAAGGGCATCTCAGACAGATGGGGCCTGTGGAGCTCCGTTGCTTCCATTTCTTGGGAGTTACTCACTGGAGCTGTGTTTGGCATCGATAGTCACAAATGTTTTTTAATACTTCATCTTGCCATCTGGGCAGTGGGGTGAAGGGGATGATTCCTTCTCGGTTGCCAAGTAGGAGAGAGGGGGATGACCCAGTTCTGTTGAATAAAAGACCCTGCCTTTCCAGGAGAGTAGACGAAGCCTGCAAGTCATGTGGAAGCCTGACCTAGACTGCCTAGCCTTGGCAATATGGCCAAGTAGGAGGAGAAAAGTGCATGAATTGAGAGCAGCCATGCAGTGTCCAACACCGAGGGCTCCCTGTGCCCATGGGTCAGAGGCAGAATCCCACCAGCATCCCTGTGGAGCAAGCCCAGCCCCAGAACCAGGCTGGGGGAGATGCTTTGCTCCCCACACGGCAGTTCCTCCTGCGCAGGATGCACTGCTACCTTGGAAGGTGCCTTTGAGAAATGCCAAGGAGGGAGCACTGGCCTCCCTGGCTCCTGCCAGTCGCATTGGAATTAAATGGAGGGAAAAATGCACAGCTGGAAATGCTGTGGGAGTTGAAGGAATTTAGCATGGGTAATAATCGTCAAAAATGTGACTTTAAAAGGATAATGATAAGTAAAATAAGGGCTCAGCAGCCCGGTGATTTCTCTGTGGGTTTGGGTAAATGGGACCTCAGAAAGTTGCAGAGCCCAAGGAAGTAGCTGCCAAGCATTGCCAGGTAATGCTGCCATTAGAACAGTAACAGCTTCCCAGCTGGGATTCGCATCCCCGGGAGCTGCAGTGCATCTGGGAAAGGCTCCGTGTGGCGTGATGAAAATCCAGTTGTTCGTGCTGGCAGGTGGAGCTGGTTCAAATCACCTCTGTGGAGGCGGGATGGGTGCCAAGGCGGCCTGGAGTCCCGAGCATCACGAGCACGAGGTCAAGGAGATGAGCAAAGCCCTGGGAGAATCCGCATCCTCTTAAATGTGGGCATGTGGCTCTGCTCTTGCTGGGGTGGAGCCAGTGAATTCATGTCCAAAGCAAAAGAAAATAATGTTCCTCTGAAGCTAGAGCATGTTTGAACTACCAAAAAACTTATTAGAAGAAAAAAATGCACCAGAATCATTAGCGTGATGAGAACATTTCTCCTCAGCTCTTTGAACATGACCCTCCAGCTGGTTGCTTTTCACTGACGTGTTTCTTTTTATTTTAATTTGGTTTATTCATCCTCTTCGCTTTCCATAGATCATGTTCACCGTCACCACAAAAGGTTAGTTTTGTCACAGCAAACTGCTGAAAAAAAAATTCAGACTTGGCAGTCAGGACATCTGTAGGTGCTATTTGAAACCAGATACTAACTCAGCTCAGAAACTTTGCACATTACATGCTACATCACATTTCCCCATGAGAGTAAAGGTGAACATTTTAGAGTTTCTTGCTTTAAAAAAAAAAGTAGTCTTTCTGGTTTATGCATGCAACATGAGTTGTTCTAGCCTTTAACAAAATCAAAGTTGATTTGTTTTTTAAGGTGTTTTATTTTCTGTCTCTTTTTAATCAGATTTTCTTTATCACTTTTCCAGCAAAAATCTTTCTCTACTTTTGTTGCATTTCTGGGCCAAATTCACCACTGGCTCTAACAGAAGCAGCTCCACGATACACTGGACTGCATCTGCTTTCCCCAGGAGTGACTTTGGCCCTCAATTTCACAAATTAGTTACTAGAGACGACCTTAATGCCTTTCAATCAACATGCTATTTAAAAAGCACGTGTGTGTGTGTGTAAGTGTGTGTGTTAATTGGCTGTTGACCTAGGCCCAATCCTGCAATTACCTGAAGTGGGTAATTTGGGGTGTAATTTGCATGCAATGTTCTGCATGGGGGCTGCAGCCTATGGAGGCTGTCAGCAGCTTTGGTGCCCAACACCGTGGCCTTGGGCCAGCCTGAGGGGTCTCCACATGGAATTTGGGGAGCCTGAACTGTTTACATAAGTGAAGGAACTTGCCTTTAACTGGTCCTCAGAGACATCCAGTGCGCTCAGGCTCCTCCTGGGGTGGGAAATCTTATTGCAAGGCTGGGCTAAAGGTCATATTGATCCATATGATTTTATGTTAATTTATAGTTTCAGTGTGGTGTTTGCTGCTAAACGCATTCATGCTGAGTTCCAGGTGTGTTTTTCTTTTCCTCCTTTCTTTCTTTCCTTTTTAGTTTTTTAAAATTCTTCTTAATTTTGCCTAAATTTAGGAGCGTATCTGCAGACGTGCTTGGAGTGTGCATGTCTCCACCCTGAGATAACGTTTCATTTCTCCAAACTAGGATGGAAAGAGGATGTTTGGCACCTATTTCCGGGTTGGGTTTTATGGAACTAAATTTGGAGACCTGGATGAGCAAGAATTTGTTTACAAGGAACCTGCAATAACAAAGTTAGCTGAAATTTCCCACAGGCTCGAGGTGAGATTTATTGTGGCCAATCTCAAATTCTCTGTCTCTGAATTGCAATTTAAATAGTTTCCATTAGTTGTATAAGAGCTTTGCCCCCATATTTTGCGTCATTTTGTTTCCTTGGCATCTAGCGCCTCCAATCCAAGAAACTAGGGGCCTGTTAAGATGCCTGAATTTCACAGCCTGCAAAGGGAGCCCCATGAAATCTCTCTCAAGTTTATTTTGGCTGTGCGCAGGCACAGGCAGCTCTGATGGATCTAGCTGGGCTGGGGCGAGGTTTTGGGTACCATCCATGGGCCATCTGTTGACTGTTAGTCCTGCGTGGTTTTGGCCAAATAGCACGTGCCACGCGCTGCCCTTGCACTGTCTGGGGGACAGCATGGGTCTGAGCCTCTTCCCAGGAGGCAGGATGATGGATGAGCCATAAACTGAGGGAGAGGAAGAGCATCTAGCTGCAAGGCTCTGCGTCACGCCGGCTGCCTGCTCCCAGGGCCAGAGAGCAGAATCAGCCCTGTTTTATTTACTATAAGGGACAGGGTCATGTCAGAGCCCGATGTCGCACTGCTGCTGTTGCAACCGTTCAGTTGCTGTCACATTGCACTGAAAGCAGCAGAGTTATTCGAGGTTTAAGCACATGAAATGGAGCTCAGACCCCGGCCATTCATTCTGCCCAGCAAAGCTGGGCTCTAATGCAGCACCTGATTCCCGAGCAGAGCCTGCTTTGACTGTAGTTTTCAGCTGAGCTCACAGGCACACAGAGCACTCAAATGACCAGTTCAAACCATACAGTATCTGTGTGTGCAGTTGGAAGGCTCCCGAGTTCTCCCAGCTTCCAGGGTTTTAGGTTTGTTTTTTTTCCCCCTGTTGCCCCTGGAATGCAATTGATTTAATTCTCCTAAGTTCAGCAGATCACATTCAGCCTTGGTGCAGCTACTATTGAAGGCATTTGTAGCTTCTCCTCCCCTGAATATGCCTTTGTCTCTCTAACCCACATCTCTGAATGCTGCATATGATGCTTCCTTTCCATATGTTTACTCTTAATTGTAGGGATTTTATGGAGAACGGTTTGGTGAAGATGTACTTGAAGTGATTAAGGACTCGAACCCTGTGGACAAATGTAAACTAGATCCTAACAAGGTAAGGACACAAAGCACGGAGTTTGAATGAGAACTGGTCCTAAATATGGGAAAGTATAAAGGGTCAAATGCTGCCCGGAATTTCCCCAAGTATGCAGTGAAATCCATCTTCAGAGCATCTTGTGGCTGCTCGAGGAGCAAGCTGGGGGAAATGCTTCCAGCAGAGCAATGGAGAATTAATGGTTTCACGTCCTGCCCCAAGCTTTGAACCCTTTAGAGCTTGGTGGGAAGACCCAAAAGGTTAGCACAGTGTCAGGCTGTATTTGCCTTTCCATGTAATCTCTCCTAAATGCAAGGAGGGAAGGGAGTTTTTCCATTCTCTGGCCTTTGACTTATTTGCAGCTGTAGCAGTTTGTCCTTCTTGTGCCAGATACTTCAAGTATAGCAAAAATAATAGGAACACGTCTCAGAAATGAAACTTCAGATGTGGGCAAGGCATTATCTGCAAAGAAAGGAAGGAGACACCTCATGTGAATAATATGAGAAAAGTAGGGCAGTGTGCTATATTTTTTTCAAGTCCTGAAGCCACAGAAGCCACCAGGGCCCTAGACATCCCCACATGAGTACGATTCCTCCAAGTAAAAACAACCAGCAGTCCTAGTTCTTCAAGGGGTGTTTTGAGAAGTAAAAGAGTTGAAAATGAACTAGGTTATTGCATTACTAAAAGCAGGGAAATGAGCTCTTCTCAATATGGCCTTGTGTGGCACTGCGCTTCGTTGTCTGCATGCTTGGGTTCTTTCTTTCCTCCAGGCCTACATTCAGATAACCTACGTGGAGCCGTACTTCGACACGTATGAGATGAAGGACAGGATAACTTACTTCGACAAAAACTACAATTTGCGGCGGTTCATGTATTGCACCCCCTTCACGCTGGACGGCCGCGCTCACGGGGAGCTGCACGAGCAGTTCAAGCGCAAAACGATCCTGACCACGTCCCACGCTTTCCCTTACATTAAAACCAGGATAAATGTCATTCACAAAGAGGAGGTGAGGCCTGTGTTCTCAGCACAGCAGAGATCCCCAGTGGTGTCCTGTGTGTGAAGGGAAATATTTTAAGACTAAATGAAGTCAATTTTGCAGAAACTCATGCATAACATACCCCACAGAGCAGGCCAGGCTATGCATGTAGGTTTTTGCCTCAGCTATGTCCTTTCACACTGTCACATGGGCACAGATACACTCTCCTGACCACTCCATAGTTCACCCTTCTCTCCCTTTTAAGGGTGCATGACTTCTGCAAAGAGCCAGAGCAGACAAGTGCTGTGTTCAGCTGCTCTGGCTGGTCACAGCAGGGTCTGTGCTTCTGGCCCCGGGTTTTTAAAAATAGCTCATTGGGCTTTCCCTATTCCCATCCAATTTGAATTAAAAGCAGACCAATTCAAAATGAAATGATTAAAAAAAAAATGTCCACTCGGAAGCAGTCGCAAAGACTCTGATCACCAAGATGTATAAACACATTTAAAAATCACAATCTACTTAATGGTCCTAAATAAGGAGAATGCAGAGGTTCGAGAGTACTTATTTTAATGTTGTTTTCCAAGTGCTTTTGAAAGGCTATTTCTGATCGATGGTTTAAATGATAACAAGAATCCTGTGTTCTGGCTACTTGAATAGATCATTTTGACACCCATTGAAGTTGCCATAGAGGACATGCAGAAGAAAACACAGGAATTGGCTTTTGCAACTCACCAAGACCCTGCAGATCCAAAGATGCTGCAGATGGTGCTGCAAGGATCAGTAGGTACCACAGTAAACCAGGTGAGAAATGTTTTCCAAGTTGGTCGCATAACTCTGTGCCTTATTTTTTAAATGGCCTTTTTTCTTTCCTTTGTTTTTTTTTTTCACTCAGTCTGTGGGATGTGTTTAAAGTCATTTTGCAGTCCTGAAAATGTCTAGGAAGTTCTAGGAAGATCTTCCTAGATCTAGGAAGTGGCTGAGTGGAGATCACCCTTCTTCCTCAATTCCCTGCCTTTCCAGGCATTTGCAGGCATTTCTGCTTGCTTTTCCTCCTCTCTTAAAAAAAATAAATAAATAAAGTTTTATTACTTTCCCTTTGGTTAGCCAGGCTCTGGTGGGTGGAAGTGGGATTGTGTTCTGCTGTGGTTTATGAACAAAATGGAAAGCAAAAACATTGAATGGAGAAAAATTGAGGAAAAACTGAGGGAAGATGTGTAGGTGTAAACCTGTACTAATGCATGAGCTGGAAAAAACACAGGTTGAGTTTCAAATTCTGGACTGAATTTGCAGTGCTTCCATATTTCCCTGCTTCTGCTTGCTTTGTCTAAACTTTTTTTTATTTGACAGTTGAGCAGAATTTGTTAAGGATTGTTATACAAGAAAATATATGTAGAGTCTGCACATTTTCTCCCACTGCTTTCCAGAAGCAGAGTTATATTTTAAAAAGAACATTAAAGGCATTTATTTGCTGTGATCTTTGGTGATTTATGCTAGATTTAGTAACTGAATTTCCTTAAGGCACATTCTGTAAAGAAATGTTGCCATTTATGAATATTTCTATATGCAAGAAATTTCTCTAGTGAATGGATATGACAGTTCAGAGAAACTTACTCTTTTCTCTTGTGCTCCTAAAGGGACCATTAGAAGTTGCTCAAGTTTTCTTGTCTGAAATACCCAATGATCCAAAGCTCTTCAGACATCATAACAAACTGCGGCTCTGTTTCAAAGACTTCACCAAAAGGTACAGAGGGTTTTTTCCATGTTGCCTTCCAGATGCATTATTGCTGCCACATCAAACGGAATCATTTACGGTAGTGCAAGGGTGTATCCAGACAGGAATTTTGATATTGTAATAGTATTTGCTACTTTCTTCTAACCAATTTTTGTATACAGCTGTATTCTTCAGCTAAGCAGTTGGTTCCCTGTGTCTGTGGTGCTGCTGGTCCCTGCTAAAGCCAGATCGAGGGGCTGAACTTGTCTGTGCTGTTTTATCAGGAATGAATTAGTGATGGCAGTTCAGTTGTGAACAAGTGTTCCCATTTCAGAACTATCCACGCTGGCACAAATGAACTCATGGCTTGGCAGGGTCAGGAGAAACTATTGAATTGGCCAGGAGACTTAATTTCTGCCTGAAGTGAATTTCTCCGAGCCGAGTGGAAGCATCTTGGCAGAGTTCTCTCAAGAAATGTTTTGGCTGCTGTACTTTCCTCCTGAGTAATGCAAATTGCAATCTCAATCTAGCTGCTCTTGCAAGCACTAAGTAATTAAAAATAATAATTGAAATAAAACCGTTCCAAGCAAACATCCAGTGGCAACATAGATATTCTATACAGAAATTAGCATTGATGTTACAGTTGTTTTCATACCCTTGTTTAAATTATATCCTCCAAATAGAAGAGCTGCTGATGAGCATCTCATAGTCTGCTATTTATTAATCTTTTCCTGAGGAGAGCAATAATTTATTTGTCTTTAAATCCCCTTCTAGAAATGGCTATGTAGAGATAAGCTTTTCATTTCTCTTCAGGGAGAATAAATGTAATTGGAGAGTAAAATTAAAATGAAAAATGAATTGCCAGTCTAGAAGTAAGATGGAATTTGGAGATGTGGCACCTTCTCCTTTTCCCATTTAGACCTACCAGTTAAGCTGAGTCCTTATTACCCAAAGGACAAGATAGAGAAGGGTATTACATGTCAGCCCAGAAGAACAAGAGGAAAGTTTTTGTGCTATTAAGTTAACAACTCCCACAGTGAGAAGGGTCCTTCTTTATGGACCCAGATTTCACAGACTTTTGTTTTTCAGATGTGAAGATGCTCTACGCAAGAATAAGAGCCTGATTGGTCCAGACCAAAAGGAGTATCAGCGAGAACTCGAAAGGAATTATCACCGGTTAAAGGAAGCTCTCCAACCTCTGATAAATAGGAAGATCCCGCAGTTATATAAGGCAGTGCTGCCAGTCGCTTGCCACAGGTGGATATTTGATTTTACTCCTTCAGCAGAGATAAAGAGGGTGTAAAATTGATTGGTCTGATCTTCTTGGTGAACCTGTGGAATATGCTGACTTTTATTTAATTGCGGATGGATCTTTTGGATGGGTCCATCTCTTTCCCCATCTGTCCTGGGCTCAGGGCACATCCCCTTCCCAGCAGTTATGGTAGGTGCTGTTTTGCATGTCCCTTGAGTTTCTGATCTATGAGAAGATTTTTTTTTTCTTTTTGCACCTCATTCTTTTTAATCTCAAAACCATCCTCAAGGTAGCAGGACTGACACTTTATTCCCAGAGGAACTGGCATGAGAAACTCCAGGGCAGATAGGGTGGCAATGGCAGAAAAACAGTTGTTGTTTTGCGTGTTAGAAGACGTGTGAGTTGTAGTCCAAGCTTTTCTGTTCCTTTGCAGAGAGACCCAACGTAAAATCCACTCTGTGGCTGTATGAAGCAAGTCAGAGTCCTGGACCCTGTTAGTTTGTGGTGACAAACTGTGACTGAGCAGGGGACGCTTCATGCATTGTTTCTAACAAGGTCCCTCCCTGCATTTACAGTAGAATGGGCCCAGTCATATATGCATTTGGCTGACTACATCTAAGGTCCTAAGAAAAAGAAAAGTAATATCCTCATTTTCCAGTGCCTACATTCCTTATTGGAAAAATAGAACTGTTGGCAGCTCCTTAGTGATATTTTGTCGTTATTTGCAATTTGGGTGCCTGCTCTGGCTCCCAAGCAGGGAGAGGAGCACCTCTCAGCAGCAGATGCTCTCCCTGTAATCCTTGACTTTCACCACTGAAAAGGGCCCTGTCGTGTCCCCTTCAGCAAGGCCGGCTAACCCAGTCTTGCCAAGGCTGCACCAATATCTCAGTCTCAACCCAAGTGAGCAGGGGGGACATTTTGGAAAGGATAAGGACCCTGAGCAGGGTATGGACGGTGCTTTTAACTGCAGATTTATGCAAATGTTGATTTCTGCCCATATCTGTGCAGTTGATTTACAAGAATACAGCCCTGGATTTGAGCATTTCCTCATGAAAGGGTTGTTCAGAGGTAAAGAAGAGTGGGAGTGATCAAAACAGTCATGAAAAGAGAAATTCATCAAAAATAAACTGTAAAAGCAAGACACAGAGCTGGATGAAGAAGGAAAAGCGTTCCCAGCTCACGCTGAAGCACTTGGCAATGTGTCTATAGCAGAATTTTGTTTATTTTTCACTGCAGAAAGGTGCCCATCCTCATTACCCAAGTTAATGACTTGAAGGTTGCCCCGGTCAATGGTGCCGTTTGCTAGAGCTCCTGGAGCTGCTTTTCCTTCCTTGGGAGGAGCCATGTGCTTTCCTGCCCACCTTCCATGGGCTCCCTGCAATTGCCATGGGTCCTTTTGTGGTCATTATTTTCTGATTCTGTGAAGTTCATCCTGTGCAGAGTATATAATGCAGGTATTTCATGCAAAGTTCACTGAGAGATTTTTTTTTGAAGGGTTTCAATAAGTAGTGCAGGTAGTTTGTGGTGCTTTTCTACATATTCATGTATTAAACCTTCTCTGAGCTTCCAGGGCTGTAACCATGAACAGTTAAATGATTCCAGATAGAGACACAAAGCAAATTCATTTTAAAAAGCAATGAATTCATGTCAATGGACTTAATTTTTGTAGTAGCCAGCTGTAGAAATATTGGAAATCATGTACAGAGTCATTCATCTTAAAGGGCTTCTCATTTCATCGTGGAAAATATGAGCTCATCACCGTATTTTTTCTCCCTCAGAGACTCCTTTGTTATCAGCGCTGGGAATCAAAGAAGTTTTATTATGAAATAAAACTTGGACTTCATCCTGGACATCCCACACCTCTTCCTCCATCAAAGTGTTCAGTGGCCAAAAATCATTCTGAATTGTCAAATATAGACTTATCAATGTTTGAAAAAAATCATGGCAGTGGTATCCAGAGTATTGGTGATTGATAAGCTGTAAACTTACCTGTTTTTAAGGCATTTTTATGACTCAAAGGTACACTAAAAGCATTTACCTTTATTTATAGCATTACCTAATGTTAAATTTATTTACTTTCAGTTCATATATTTAATTTATATTAGGACCATATGCAAAATGCATTTTTGAAGTTTTTAATGTAGTGATGGTTATTTTGATGGTACTATTAAATATGTGAATGTTTACACTTTAATTCCCCGTGCATTCGACTTCAGAGCTTGCCATCCTTGGGGGGAAAAGGTTCAGAGTAAGGTAAGTCTTACAGTAATGCTTCTTAACCAAATGGTAACTTTTTACTGTGTGCTTTTCATTTTTCTTTTAATTCCGAATAGCAATTGCTGAAAAAAAAAAAAAGTAATTCTGTTTATTGTCATCAGATCAGTCGGGACCTACCTCCTTGTTACCACTTTTACCTCGTTTAGTGAAGCAGAGTTTCAGCATGGCTCCTGTGTGTACACAGTGTTATATACCAACTAGGAAGTTCAAAGCCAGCACAGTAACGTCATCAGATTTCAAATGCACAGTGCATGTTACCAGTGTACGTGCAGCTAATCTACTTTGTAGGGCCTCTTTCAATTTAGAAAAGAATTCCATGGGGAAAAAGTACAAACAAAAATGACAAAAAGATTTAATGAAGCTAAAGCTTCCATAGCAAACATTCTTTACATTCTTATGTCAGAAAAATCTGCTTCAAAACAATTACTTTAGTGGCTTTCAGGAAACATCAGGATCGGAACTGACTACGCACCTCCTACATTAAATCCCTTTTATTTCTTACCTCTGAATTGAACAAGGCAGCTTGGAAAAAGGGGTATGTGATTAAACACAAGCTTCTCTTACATACATGGGCATTGTGTGTATATATAGGTATGTGCGTGTATATATACATACACACAAATATATATATTTTCTATAGTTTGTGTATGGGTATATACAACAAATAGGAGTTTTTAAGGCTGCAGTTTTAGGTATCCATCCAGCCCGCGGCGGGGCCCACGTGGCACCCACAGGGTGGTGCCAACGTCGGTTTGGGGAGGAGAGCCCCATCCTGCAACGTTTCGCTCCCGGTGCTGCTTTGGTGACCCCAGGACAGCCCTTGTGCAAAGGGGCAGTGCTGTTCCTGCAAACACCCTTGTTACTGAGCTGGCGCTTTAGCAGGGCTCATGACGGGGAGCCTGGCAAGGAATATCTTGGGAAAACTGCTCTGCTAACCTCATCTTTTTTTTGTGTGTGCCCAGTTTCAAAACTGGAGGTGTTAACAAGGCCTTGAAAGCGGTACAGGAGTCCTGGACACTTGGCAAGGAAAATGATTGCAGCAGAGGGAGGGCCTGGTTTGCAAATGTTTATATCGAGACCTGCAAAATACTTAAGAATTAACAAGGAGAAAAAAAAAAAAGCATAGAAGAATGAAACAAATGACAGTAGTCCTTGTACACCCCCGTTCATCTGTGAAAGGGTCTATTTCCACCTACATCTTTTGTCACGTGCAGCCCCGTGCCGTGCAGCGCCACACAAGCTCCCCTGCACACCCAGTTCGGGTAAGGCAGGGTGCACCAGGCTAGGGCAAGTCTCCAAACCCCCCGTATTCACTTCTCGTATCACACTCGGGCAGCTTTTTTTTCCACGTGGGATATTCTGACTGCTCGGATTCTGTGCTTGAACACTTGGAAAGAAAGGGTTTCTCTAAAGTCATGTAACGTGATGGAAGGAGGATGGCTATATCGTCTGTCGATGACACTCTAACCACTGTTTTGTTGTATGTAACATCCTCTTGTTTCCATGGAGCATTTCACGTTCCTACAGTTGAATGAAAAACCTAAGTCCTGGGTTGACTTCGGAAGAATAAATTTTTATTTGCAGGCTGAAATTGAGCAAATCCCATACTGCAGGCAGCAGTAAAAATAGCATTCTGTAACTTGATTTGGCTGTCCTTCCAAGGTAAGATTACAGTTATTTTTTGGAAGATAATATCTTGGTTTAGACTACAAATTTATTTTGGTGGCAGTGCTGTGCCAATAGAAGGGTCTCAGTGCATTTGAAATAAATACAATATTTTTTTTCTCTGCAAAACATATGTTAGGAATCCATTCAGCACAAGTATAGAAGTAGCTCTAAATTTAGTCCAGCCTTTTTTACGTTGTTTTTTATTGACATTACAATCTTTCTACCCTAAAGCACATTGTATTCATAATCATGAGCTGAGATGTTCAGCAAGAGTGAGGGCTATACAGAAATCAGAGGTCAACTACTGCATTATAGTAGAAGATGGTCTATAAAAAGAGTACGGTAAACACGGTGTAAACTTTTAGCACTTTCTTCTTTAAATATAGGTTAATTTGTAATCTAAAAATTTAAATACATCCTGAAAAATGGGTGGCATATTCACATCTTGCATATCTTTCGTAAACTGTGTTTAACAGCAATTCAAGTCATTCCATCCATACTATGAAAAGAAATAATCATCCTCTTTTGTAACAGTTTTAAAGATGTCAGTTGTTCACTGTCTGCAAGTTATAGAATGCTCCTTAAATTTTTAATTTCTAACACATAAGCTAGGATTTTAATCTGTAATATTTAATGGCAAACACTGCACTCATTTTTATAATAATCTATTAGTTTCCCTTTCCTCTTGCCTCCAACCCTTACTTTAACCATCAAATCCTCTTCAAGTACAGTATGTTCCTTTTTTTGGTCAGCCATTTAACTGTACAAGAACTTGTTTGAAAACTTCAACTTTTCTATCATTCTCACATCCAAATTTCTCTAAAATATGCAACTCCCAACCATTTTTTAACTATGCCCAACCGTTTTTACTTCCAGCTTTTTTTCTCTCCAAACACAAAAGTCTGATCTAGTCATCTCAGACATTTAGTGCGTATCATAAAATTTTTTATTTCATATATACATTCTTAACAAAGCATCAAGCCAAATGCTTTCATTTTCCCACATTTCAGTGAGTTCTAAATACAAGTTAACTGTTATAAGATCACCACTAAATTCCAAATCCACCCAAACAGATATGCAAAGTAGAGGGCTTTACTCTTAGAAGTACAAAAT